GACATCCAGCCCTGGCTCAGGGGCCAGGGCAGCTCCCACAGGGTGCCCACCAGCGCTGGATTGGCCCTCGAGCAGCTGCCAGAGTTTCAATTGAGCCACGTGGCTCCTCTGCTGTCTGGGGCAGGAGAAGTGGGGGAGGTGGGAGGGGAACGTGTGGGTGCCGTGGGGGCTCGGGTTGGCATTCTGCATGGTGAGTGTCGTTGGTTTCTATTTCTTTCCAATTGAGATAAAAATTAATGGAGATTGCCTATCTCCTAGAACTGGAAGAGACCTTGAAAGGTCATCGAGTACAGTCCTCTGTCTTCACAGCAGGACCAAGTACCATCCCTGACAAATTTTTGCCCCAAATCCCTAAATAGCCTCTGCAAGGATTGAACTCACAACCCTAGGTTTAGCAGGCCAATGCTCAAACCACTGAGCTATCCCTCCTCCCAGGGATGGGGAACTGTACTGCCCAAGTTGCCACTGTGCCAGTTGCCTGCCTCAGAGCTAAATGACCATGAGCTACAAAACTGAACCCCTTGCTTTTTAAATAGGTCAGGTCAGGATTAAACACACTGACAGAGTAGTGCCTGTGGAAAGCTTGCCTTTGTGCTGCCTGTATTCTGCCTACTCTGGGGCTGATTAGAGAACTAATTCTCTAGAGTTTTCAGACCAGCTCTTTCCCCAGCTCTAGATTAGTTAGGAGGAAACTAGGGGGCAGTGCCTCCTGCTTGCAGCGCTTGCCAACAGTAAGGAAATAGTCCCTCTAAGAAATTTTAAAACCCCTCAGGAAGTCAGGCCTCTCCACTGCACACTTACTTGCAGATGGCTCCAATGGTGAAGCCAGGTGGGAGCAAAGTTGGCAGGTCCTTCAAGGAGTGAACTACCAGGTCAACTCTGCAAGTCAGAGAAAGAAAAGTCAGAGCACAATATGGGTGAAGGATCCCCATTGCATCTGCATGATGGCTGAAAACGAGCTGAGAAATAAAGGTTCCACCCCGAACTTTAGTTTAGAAAAGGGGACTGGAAGTCAGGAACTCTGGTTCTACTCCCCATTCTACTGATTCACTGTGCAATTTCAGACAGGTCACTTCATCTCTCTGTGCCTCAGTTTCTTCCTCTAACACTGAGATTCACCTCCCAGGGTGCTAAGTCATAAATATTGGAAGAGCTTGGTGCCAAAGACCCATACATGCATTGCCCAGATACCTATCAACCTTGCAGTATGTAAAGCTCAGTGGGATGAGAGAGCCTAGACAGATCTAAGTAGCTACTTTTCAGTAGGCAACAACCCAAAATTCAAGCTGCCTGCACCACTTCATGCTACTGATGTGGCCATCAAAAAAGGTCTTGAATCCTTAAAGCCTGAACTTAGCAGGACTCTTTCCATTGATTTCAGTAGGAGCTAGATCAGGCCTCAGTCACAATCCACATATCAACCAAGGTTTCCCACAGAAATAAGGTACCCAGAAAGAACTTAGCCCTAATGCTCCTACTTCTCCTACACTGTCAATAGTGAATACAATTAACAGGCAGGAGGCTGCAGAGACTGTCCAATGATAGTTTTAATCTGAGGCATCTAACGAAATTCCAGAATTCAAATTGTATGTGGCCACTCAGTGATGTGCATGTAACAAATCATACCATTGTTCTAAAAATGCCACAGGTTGCAGGGTATCAGTTCGACCAACCCCAAGATTATTGATTAACAGGACACATTTTTCCTTCAATCACGTGAGAACAACGAAAACATTAAGGGGAGTGACTGTGGATAGCACATTTCACAAGCATGTAGTTACAGACAAGCCACTAGGGCGTGAATGTTCATCCTGATTTTAGATGCAAACAGAATATACAGCCCAGTGCAGACCATTCCATGGTCTGCTGTAAGCAAGAGAAAGGATCAGGCTCTTACTCATTTCTTTCCAGGGCATTTTCCAGTTCCTTGGTGAAGAGGCTCTTCTCTCCAATCTAAACAGGGAGGGAGGAACAACAAGCCTATTGCCAACCTAGTCACATACAGTCTGACTCAATCCAAAGGAGGAAAAAGGAAGAGGTCAGGTACCTTGGAAAGAGCAGTGTCCAAGATCTTGTCTCCAGTTGTTGACATGGCAACTGTTCAAAGAGAGAGCTTTTTAAGAGCAGCATATGAGAGAGATAAGGGATGTCCAGATTCTGTAGGTCGCTGTGCAATATGCAGGAAAGGGGTACGTGGCTGTTGAGTTCTAGCGCAGGTGTGAACACCGGCTCCATGTAACAATGTGAAGCAATAGGATTTTTTTTAGTCCTGTACTCTCCTGGGAGTGTGCTGCCTTATTCCTAAGAGCACGGAGTATGAAAAGGGGAGGCCATGCGCTGGTATGTCTGAGGTCAACAGTATTAAGCAGGATCCCCATCACAAGACACTTTGCTTTGAACACCGTATCTGACCTCACTCTTGCTACTAGCAAGGGGCTCACAGCTGCCATCAGTGCAGCACTGATCACCAAATTACTCACTATTTGGCTTATATAATTTTTTTTACCTTGGGCTTTCACAAATACCATTTTATGCCTGCTCAAAGTAGGAAGAAGCCTTGAACATGAACATAGGATACAACTGCTTAGAGCTAGACCAATGCATGATTACTCTATAGATTTGACAGCACCCAGGAATTCAACGCTCAGCAGTAAATAGCATCCATCCTCTCCTTGCTCTGCAGACAAGAGCATCTATTGCCCAGCCAGCTGATCCTAACTGGGCAGAACTGATTCAGATTCTCCATTTGAGCAAACTCCACAATCTCTCTTTCTTGGGCCATGGCCATCTTGCATAACTGGTTATACACCAAAGCATCCAACTCCAGCTGCTCCCTACCTTTGAGAAGTGTTTGAACACCTACCGATCTCAAAATGAAGGTTGAGGTATCGCTTGCGGAGCATTTCCACTACACTGTCTGTCTGAATCCGGGCCAGCTACAGTTAAAAACAGAAGGCAAAGTCTGAACACATGTGAGATGGCATGTATTCAGTACATCAGCTAAAGGAAGCTTTTCTGTTCTTAGACACAGTCACATCACCCTTCAAAGCACAAGCATTAATACAAATAGGTGTCTTAGCAAGGTGCTAAACACACACAGCCTACCCCCTTGTCACAACGATCACAACACCCAACTGAAGAAAGTGCCAGCATCTCTTCTTTACAGATAGAGAAACAGAAAGAGTTAGAATAACTTGCCTCATGGTTAAACAATGGATTGGGTAAGTGGTAGGGGGGGAGCTGTAAAGACATGGACAGACAAAACTTCTTCAGTTGTGCAAATTGTTATCATCAGCCTCTTGTAACTTGAACAATCCAATTCACTATTTTTTTCCTCTTTTTTGTTCTTTTCTTTTCTCCCTGCCTCTCTTCCCCCCGCCTTTCCTTATTTATTCTTGGATCTGGACTTTCAATACTCCAGTCATCCGAAGAAGTGGTTGTACCCACAAAAGCTCATTATACCATCTACATATTTTGTTAGTCTTTCAGATGCTGCTAGACTATTCATTGTTTTTTTTAAAACTTCTTCAGTTACAAGTATTGGTTCAAACAGGGGATTGGAAATCAGATTTCCTGGGTTCCATTTTCAGCCCTGCCACTGACTTCCTACATTCTGTGGCCAGTCATTTCAGCTCTTTGTGCCTCAGCAACATTAAGTTTCAAGTGGCAACAGTTCTTACCCACCTAACTGGAGGGCTGTGGCCTGCTATCTGTGAAATACCATCATTGGGTGAATGGAGCTAGGAAAACAGTGGGGTGATTTTGTAATTTTTGACATGAATCAGACTGAGCATTGTGGGCAGTGCTAGAGAATAGGTTCTGCAATGAGAGGCACCCATTGTTGTTATAACCAAGACAGACTAAATAGCCCAGTGATTACCACCTCAATGAGCAATGAGTTAAAGTGTCCCAGCGGACCGGGGACACCCGAGTGGGGCCGCCGCTTGGGCGGCGTTAGAGCAGGGCCGCCCGGGCGGCGGCTGGGCTTCGGCGGCCCTGAGGAGCAAAGCCACACAGGTGGCATCCCGCCGCCTGTGTGGCTTTGCTCGGGGGCAAAGGAGTAAAGCCACACGGGCGGCGGGGTCCCTCCGCCTGTGCGGCTTTGCTCAGGTCTCCCTGGTGTGCTAGTGCGCCCCCCCCAGCAACAGACCACGCTTTTATTGCGGGACGCCTCGGGTAGACCAGCTGGGGTGCTGCCGGGTTGGTCCTGTGGGAACCTACCGGGCAGCGCCCCAGCTGTTCTGTCCCAGGCTCCAGATTCAGCGGCTTTTGAGGCTGATCAGGCTGATTCCAGGAAGCTGGGGGCAGAGCAACTCTGCCTCCGGCTTCCTGTAGTCAGCCCCTGGTCGGTTTCAGTGGCAGCGGCTGAGTCTGGAGCCAGTTCTGACTTACATACAAATTTTGGTCCTGTGGGAACCTACCGGGCAGCGCCCCAGCTGTTCTGTCCCAGGCTCCAGATTCAGCGGCTTTTGAGGCTGATCAGGCTGATTCCAGGAAGCTGGGGGCAGAGCAACTCTGCCTCCGGCTTCCTGTAGTCAGCCCCTGGTCGGTTTCAGTGGCAGCGGCTGAGTCTGGAGCCAGTTCTGACTTACATACAAATTCAACTTAAGAACAAACCTATAGTCCCTATCTTGTACGTAACCCGGGGACTGCCTGTATTACAATTTGTGCAGGACAAAATGGAGAATAGTACATGACATGTAATCATCTGTGACATAAGGAACTAAGTAAACACACTTAACTTCATTGGGAAAGGATACTAATTTGAAAATTAATGAATATTAATTTTCTATATCAATTCAGCTCTCTTACTCAACAAACTTTAAGTGTTTAATGTAATGGTTTAAATTGTGTTAATGTGAGCATATTTCTTTTTGTTGGGAAGGACAGACCATTTGCACAGGCAAGTTTTTTAAAAATTGTGTTGGTTCTGCAACATTGGTTCTGGTTCTCAATTTGGTTCTGCAGCATTGTATTTTTCTCAACCTCCGATTTCTCTTAAGCAAAAATGGGTAAAATCGCACTGAATTTTGTGATGATTTATTATATGAACAAACATATAATAGGGACTGGAATCTGGGTTTAAAGAATAGAGAGTAGGATGTGCAAAACATGCTCACTCTAGAAATGTTGGCCCAGGATTTCAAGATTTAAGTGAAATAGAATTATTGTATGTACAAGTTAACAGCTGATATCTTTTTAAGAAGAAAATGAAGCAAGTGATGTGAACTGAGAACAAAACAATTGATTATATAGCGATTCAATGAGCCTACATGGATACAAAATTTTGTATCCACAT